TTTTCTGCCAATCTGTGTTTTTCCCTTTTTGGCCAAATATATATTTTACGACAACTGTCTTGTTGACGGCGTCTTTTATTCGTTCCACTGGGGTTTAGCGGGTGTGTTTATAAAGAGACGAAAATTGTTTGGGGACTATCCCCCACGTTCTAGTTGAGATGGTATAACCCAAGAGGCAAAATGACGCTTGCTACTGTTGTTGCGAGTTGCCATTCGTTCTACTAAACCATTCGTCAAACGCCGTCATGTCTTCTGTCGTTATTACACAAATAAAAATCTCTTTACTGTTACGAGTGTTAGTGCCTCAATATGGCTACGCTCGTGAAAGCAAAACAACGAACTCAAACGCGTCTTCGTTCAATGTTGTCAACTAATATCCGGATTAATTTTATGCAAATTTTCCTCAATTTCATAAAAAAATTGAAAAATCCAGAGGACTTTCATCTCTGAAAGGCAGCCGATAATAAATCTGAAGGCAAGAGCAACGAGTGCGTCCCACACGGTGAAAGTTAAGCTAATTTGACGGATTTAGTGGCAAAATATAAATCATCATGCTTTGCAGGTATTTTGGATTAAAAAATGAAGCAGAGTGAAGTGTTGTGCTCACTTAGCGAAAATTGTAATGAAGCAAGTCAGCACAACATTACGTTGCAGTTTACAATGTGAAAAAAACAACACGTTTTTAGTGCATTGAGCAACATCGTAAATTGTGAGAGGTCCTGTTTCAAACCAGACATGATTAATATGGTAAAATAGTGTTTTTCTAAGAATCTGTAGAAGTTGCACTGTTCTTGAAAGAGAAGCTGTTCAACCAGAGCCCCCCCTTGTTGAATTCATGTGTCCCCATAAAGATTGAGCTCTGGTGACGAGTCTGTATTAAGATGATAAAAAGACAAGCCCCTACATGCTGGACCATATTTCCTTCTGTAAACGCTGCTGCCTGAGGTTGTCTTTTGTGCGTGTCACTCTATGTCGTTGCGTTCATAGACGTCGCATAAACATAAAAATATCAGACTTAACCAAAAAACCCCCCAAAAAAATCCAAATTGGGCATCACGCTCTGCAGTGTGAACGCAGCCTATTAGTCTTGTTTTAATTCGCTTCCACGGATTTGTTTTGCGGTGTGAATTAGTAATAAGATGGTATGTGGTTGTTTTTGCCGGCGAAGTTGCGCTGGATGTCTCCGTCCCCAAAAATACTCAAAAGTGTCTGCTCCTCTTCGTCTGTCAATCTATTCATTCATTTTTCCTCCATTCTTAAAATATTGCGACAAGTGAGGACAGCTGGTAAATACTGCACACTAGAAGTTAGCAGTTAGATAATGTTGACACAAACAACACACACCCAAGTTCAACCAATCGGTGTTCATCAGTGCAGCCCACCCCCTCCAAAGTTCTAACTGGGCCCAGAAAGATCCTCGGTCATCTTCTTACCTACGTAAATCCTTTTGGTGGAAACTCACGGCCAACTCCATTTACATCGGTAAATTGAAAAGTTCTTCAAAAGGTTCTTGCAGTGGAAAAGGGGCTTTTGAGAGCCCTAAATGGTCAAAGGATCCTCTATACTTGGATTTGGTGTCATTTTGTTGTTTTGTTCGGTAGATGCCATCTGCCGGCCGTCTTTTACTTTATGTCAGTGTACACCTATTTTGACTTATACTTGCAGAAAAAAAAAAGTTTTTACTGATACTTTTTTACACATAAAAAAAAAAAAAATACCAGAATATTATTGCAGTACATTATGCGACTTTGTTACATGAACTTGAAACTATGATTGTGCGTGCGTGCGTGTGTGTGTGTGTGTGTGTGTGAGCGCAGCCCACTTGTTCTTGGCACACTGGGCTCTGGCTGCAACATGACTCAGATGCCACCCGAGCAGGGTGAGTCTCCCCTCACAAGGGTCGCGGGGCGTGCTCCAGCCGTCTCTGAGCAGTAGGCGGAGGACACCCTGAACTGGTTGCCAGCCAATCGCAGGGCACACAGAGACTAACAACCATCCGCACTCACACCTAAGGACAATTTTGAGTGTTCAATCAGCCTGCCATGCATGTTTTTGGAACGTGGGAGGAAACCAGAGGACCCGGAGAAAATCCACACAGGCACAGGGAGAACATGCAAACTCCACACAGGAAGGCTGGAGATGCAATCGAACCCGATATCTCTGCACTGTGAGGTCCACGTGCTAACCACTGGACCATCGGGCCGCCTAAATATACATACATATATATGGTTACATTAAAACATTAAAGGTTAAAGGTTGTGCAACTTAGATGACAAGAGTATGTTGCTGTATTATTCACCTATCAGGACTCTGGATGTTAAACTAAGCATTCAAAATAATTCTGTATCATGGACAGCTGCTGACAGCTATTTAAAATGTCAGAGGCTGACAATAGTGAATGACTACAAAGTGCATACATCTCTCCCAAAACAAGCCACCGGCTTGTTGTTAATCTCCATATGTGAGCAGACAGATCAGGTTTCATCAACCACTGACGAAACCAGAGGTGGTAAAACCTGCATGTGTCAAGAGCGGCTGCATTCCACACTTGGCCACCACACAATTAGAAACAAACACACCTGACTTCAGCAAAGGTTTGACACATAGGTTGACACACACTAATTGACAGGAGTAATGCGATCACACATTTAGAAGCATTCCCCGGTTGTTAACCTGCCGGGATTTCCAGGCAATGTCACACATTGAAACCTCTTTCCCTTTGCTTGTCCTTTCATTCCCTCAGAGCCACATATGCCCATATAGAGTGCACAATGTTCAACGCGCTGCACTGTCGAACCAACAGCAGAAATGCAGCGAAACAAGCAGTCATGTGACTACGTACAAGACCAGACAAGCTTCATTTGAACTGAACTCTGATTGCTGCTTGTCAAGTGAGATCCGCAAGTGACCAGATTGTCACAGCTTGTCTTCGGCAACCGTTCCCACACTCTCAATGTATAACTGGCAGTAGAAGCAAACACACAAGCAAGGACTGGCTCTTGGAAAATGTTTGTCCAAAAAAAAAAAAGTAGCAACGTTTTCCGTTCTTCTTTGAAGTCATTTCCCAGTTGAGGCTGACCAGCTGAGACGTTTTATGAATTGGTTATTGTGTTGTGTTCAAATTATAAGAGCAGAGGCAAGAGTTTCCTATCATGGGATAAGTGTAATAAATGTTTCCGATGAGAATATGTCACTTCTCACGTGCTGAGTGACAGTTACCTCGAAGGGAGTCTCCATTGGAAACATCACACTGAATAAAAGTGCTTCTGTCATCTCCAAATTCCGCATCCAGCTGTTTCTTGCACTCTTCCCCACGGGTCTTGTTCAGGTCAACCACAGCCACCTAAAGGACACAACAGCTTTGAGTAAAATGTCAAAAGGAGTGTGCTGATGTTTTCTTTGTTGTAAAATTAAATCATGCTGGACTCTGAATCAGTCTCGGATAATATTGTCAGTGCTTCATGCAACAGTTGCCTAAATTGTTGAATCAAAACAGTCACTGTCACAGAACATAAATTCTTTGAGATGCAGATATGAGCACTCAGAATCTGTGCTGCCAGGTGAAGTCAGAGCAGTTTGGTCAAAACAGGTTGTGCGGCAAAAAGTCAAACTAGTTGTGCAAGAGCTGTCTGTGAATGAAAACACCATCTGCTCCATGGCAATGAATGTTACAACGGTGTGAGCGACTGTCAAAGTGGTGAAAAGAAGCAGTGAGACAGATCCGGACTGACCTTAGCTGAGCTCTGTAGGAGGGACTGGACTACTGCTCTCCCTATGCCTTGAGCTCCCCCAGTCACCAGAGCCACCCTCCCATTTAGAGACATGATCTTATCCCCACGTTGGCTTCTCTCTGGCAACCTGTCGCTCACTTGTGAAGTTTGCTTTTTTTTTTTTCTTTGCTGCCCACCTACTTGAGGACTCACACACCCATCTGACGCTTTCTCTCTCTTTGAGCACGCTCAGAGGCTCGCTCACTATTCCGTCTGTTTTGGTTGGGTCGAGCTTTGCCTCTTTTCCCTCCCTTCTCTTCATTGGCCACCTCTCCCCTTCTGCTTATCAGGCCAAACAAGTGCTGTGTGTGTGTGTGTATGTGAGAGAGAGAGAGGGGGAGAGAGAGAGAGAGAGAGAGAGAGAGAGAGAGAGAGAGAGAGAGAGACAGAGAGAGAGAGAGAGACAGAGAGAGACAGAGAGAGAGAGAGAGAGAGAGAGAGAGAGAGAGCACGTCGAAGAGTTTAAGTAAACTGTTGGATAATAATTACAGATTTATCCAACAGTTGTACCTGCCCTCCTAACTCCTCCCATTTCCTTGTCCCCACCCCTTTTTCAGCACTCTTTCACCTCTCTCACTTCATTTGTCTTGAACACATTTCAATTCCTAACCTGTGGAATATCCTACAACTGAGTGCAACCATCGGGATTCGGTGTTAGTCGTCTGGATTTCTCATTGTGCATGACTTCTGCCAGAACCAACCCACCCCCCCCCAC